TTGAGTCATGCATTTCTTTTTAGTCATAAGTGCTCCCATAGTTGTATAGGCTTAATTTTATTCTATCTACGACATAGGTTTCCTTCCTTACATAGCCAGTTGTTTTAGTTTATCTAGTTGAAGAATTTCTTCAACTATTTTTTGGGTTTTGAGTTCTAGTTGTATAAGTGGAAATCTCTTTTTTCAGTGATCCATACGATCAATCGAATGCAGTCGATAGGATATAATGGGGTGCAAGCTAGTTATCATGTAAGACCAGAAAGTACTATAGGCAAGCAATTTATAGGATTCTTCTAGGCCAATAAAGTCAGTAAGCAAGGAAGTTTGAAAGCAGTATTCAAGCCCCTAGGAATAAACTAAATCAAAAGTTGGGGTTTTTTTAGGAGTTCTGTTACAGCCAAACAAGGAACCTTTAAGCCATTTTTTAGTTCTCTTAGGAGAAAGCTTGGGAGTTCTCTTATACGCAGTAGGTTCCCTTTTAAAGCCTTTATACCATTCCCCCGAAAAAGAAAAGTAAGCCAACTCTCTATCTTGTTAAGCCAAAGAAAGAGTCATTTTCTTTCTAATTGTTGCAGTCAGTCATAAGGCCAATTCCCTTCCCATATGACAGATAAGAGAGAAACTAGCAGCACAACTAGCCCGGCTGGACTAGCCACAGTTATTATATCTTTTATCGAAAGAAGTTATTCACCGACCTTCCCCAGTGAGAGCAACCCAACCAGATTGGAAAGTGTCTGCGCTGATTCTTTAGCTTGATCATTAGTGTCGTAATTCCATGAGACCACTTTGAGTAGGACAGACTTTCGCATATCTTCTCTTTCTATAAAGAATATAAGTTCCACCTCTTTTTGACTCCTAGAAAAGAGTTCTCTTAGAATCCCATTACAAAGTGAATGTATTTTGGGTGAGGCATGAAAGGAGTAAGGCCATGGTCCTGGTTGAATGAGACTAGGACGGATATCGATCTTCGCTTCTACAAGGCCTGGTCAATTGTTTTTTTAGAATCACTTTTCTCAAGGGGTAAAATCGAAGATAGATGAAATAAGAATGGAAATCAAGCAAAGAAAGGCTAAGAGCGCCCTAACTCACTACCTGACTGACTATAATCGAACAACTTGCTGGGAGATCAAATTATAGTCAAGCTTTAGCTTACCTGTTAGACCCGGATTAGATCATCCAAAAGATTAAACTAAGAGGCCAAGGAACGAACTTGTTGGCCTTACCTCAACTAAAAAAGCTAACGAGAATGTCGATTCCATACCTTAAGACTGACTGACGCTTTCCTGTTTCCCCTCCCAAAAATGCTTTTTTTATTACCGTTTAACAAAATCTTCAGCTAGGTAAATTCCATTCAGGCTCATAAGAAGCTGTTGTCAGCAACTACATTGGCAAATACAAGACACTTTGAATTGGACAGGGATACGACATCTTTTGTGATTTTGATAGGCATCGCACCAGGATTAAAGGACTTCTTTGAGTGCTAAGCTTCGTAAGTGACGGTTCTCTTATGCTTCGCTCCTTGGTATAGCCTTAGCTTAAGAGATTGTTGGATTAGTAAACCATCTCTACTTTTACCATTCCTTCTTGGCATATATCCTTCCCCGCCTTCTTGGAGGAGATGAACTAGGCCTGCCAGAAATAATTGGTAGAAAAAAGAGGGCACTGTTAAAGCATATACAAGATAGGATTTTTGGAAGGGGTGGCAAGAATAATTTCTTTATCAAGTAGGGATAACAACTATTAATAGCTGATATGTTATAACAGATATGCGACAACCGACATATCTAACTAGAAATATCATAAGAGAAGAAAGCAAGCAAAGTATAGTGAGGGCACAAATTCCCCACCATCGTCAATGTCAGTCAGCGAGCAATCTCAAGAAAGTCAGCTACCTAGCCTTTCTTATTTTCATCGTTAGTTTAAATTGAGAAATAATAATAGGAAAAACCTCCAAGCCCCTATAAAGTAAGTTATTTCAATGTTTCTACTCTCTTTCTTCTGTCTGATACCGAAGCCACTCGAACTAGAATGCCTCACTCGCACCTACTTCGAATGTCGCATCAACTCCCTCAAACATAAGGGAGCGGGCATTGCTCTTAGCCTATCGAAACAACAAAACAAAAATTCATATCGAAAGATCATTACCTTCTTCCTAAAATAGAATATAGACATTGGTATAACAGGAGGCTCGAGAGAGAGACCTCGAGCGACACATCGTAATTTACGCTAACCTTAGTATACCATTAGAGAGACTTTATCCACATTTTAACCCATGGTTAAAGAATGAGGCGATCAAGAAAGTCTCCCAAAAAATGGAAAATGTCTGAATACCTTTTTTCCTTTTTATTACAAACAAAGCGTTAGCCCTATAGAGAATCAAATCCCGTGCAACACCCGGTGTTAACACTCCCAAATCTGGAAAAGCTAACCACAGTTTCAATGGTAACGGGAATACGCTTGGCGACGAAAGCATACAAATATAGTGACGCAATCATCGGTTAGATTTAGGGAAAAAGAGCGTACCACAGATACGAAAAGAAGCACCCCTCAATCGATAGGTCAAAGGCAGAGACATAGTACCAGTTACATCTATAATCTTTGAAAACATTGGCCACAAAAAGCATCAACCAAAGACCAGAGCATCTTAGCAGACACTGGATATAAATCCCATCTCACTTCGTTGCTCCAAAATCTTTTGGAAAACTTCAAAACATGACTTATAATATAATAAAAAATGTTTTAAATGAGAGACTTTTCTTTAGATATAGTTATAGTAAAATGAAACTATTGATTATAGTAAGCAGCCACCACCTTCTCGTCGGTGATCACTGTCGCCAAGAATGGCATAGTCGTAAAGCTTTGTCATACCATACACCTTTTCAGCAGCTATCCACACAAGCGTATGATGTGTAAGTGTGAATAGAGGCGAAGAACTATAAAATCGAGGGGTTGACCCTTCGTGAATGTCAAAACTGATGACCTATAGCCTTGATTATCTAAATTATATGGTAATTGAAATACTACAGAAGTAAGTATGAACGCCCAAGAAGTTAATGGGAAAAGGATTTTTGAACAACCCTGCAATCATATAGGACGTCAGGATAACATGTAAGGAATCGATAACAATCTTGAGATCAAAAGATAATCATTTTTTCTTTCTATTGCAACGGTTGGGTTGAGGTACCATCCATTCTTAACATTGCCAAAATCGTCATGACTCAATCATGTATAGGTCATTCCAAGGCCTGATACAAGGGTGAGCCAATAGAGAATAACCTTTTCTTCCCTACTTCATCGACCTTCATTCCCATCCTGCCAAGTTGAGGCTGGCAGGACATTGTATCTAACCACACTGTGAAAAATCGATACAAGTAGCTAAACAACTTGCTATACCATACAAAGGAATCTCCGGCTGAATGGTTAGGCAAGACTATGACACCTGGGTAAACATCCCGTTTACCAAACAAGATGTCGAGAGTTTCACTTAACCATTCCCCTCCTGTAGCAAAAGTGATAGTGGCTATAGTATCCACTGGTAATGTGTGGAAGAGATTCTATGTGGATATGACGTATCAACACCTTTTGTATCTTTTAAAGGAAATGTCTAAAAATAATAATATTGTGTTGGGTTCCGAAGGAGGAAGATCAAAAATCAAAACCTAAATGTGCCAGAGGTTGATCATCGAAGCCAGGGAAATAACGATAAAGGAATTTGAGCGCTGATGTAGCTAATAGCCACCTTCATAGTCGATTTATTAGGGTTGTCACCTTCTACCCAACTAGTGGAAGTATCCATCATTTTCTTTATCTATTAAGCCTCACACCTATGGGACTTCCTAAAGAAAACTGCAATCGTAGTTTATCAACCACTCACAAGACCACCAAGATCTTCGACTTAGCTCCCCAAAGCTAATCCACCCGGCCCTTCCCCAACCTATATAAGGGAAGCAAAAGATAATGAAAGGGAGACAATGTCCTAAATAAATCATAATACACGTCTAATCATAACACAAGCTACCCATTCCATCTATCATATCAGTTAAGTCGATCCGATTCGTTCTTATCTATATATAATGCAAGAGAGAACTTATGACTTCAGGATGGAGAGGAATTGAACCCCGGTATTCCTATCAATACTTCAATTTTCAAGACCGACTCCTTCAACCACTCAGACATTCATCCCCTTCGCGCTTCGCTGCCTTATCTATTCGCGCGCTGGAAAGTAGGGGCTTATCTATGTTATTCGCTACACTTGCTTGCGCTTATCGGCTGACTTTATTACCTGCTGGTTAGTGAAACTTTTTCGATAGTACAAATTGCTATACTTCGTTTGTTTCTATATGATAATATGCACCTTGGTTGCTGCTCCCTGCGGTAATAGTAAGAGAGTGAAGAATGAATGATCCTCCAAAAAGAGTGACTGAGTTCGATTAAAGCGAGTGAGTGGAAGGCATGGCAAGAGAGCAAGTTCGACTCGCGAACAATTAGTAAGTGAAGGACAAATACTTTTACTCCAATACTATTGTGAGACTGGTACTTGGCGGCTCACAACCAACATATAGACTAAGGTTTCCCATCACTCACTCGCTCTTTTTTGAAGGCTCTTTCTATTCTCTATCTAGTATTGTTCCCCCGTAAGAACACATAATGCCCAGTTTCGCAAAGCAGCTCCCTCCCCAGCCCACAACATAGTATGGAATCTGGATCGTTTCATCGAGCACCATTCCTTTTTAGATAGAAAGTGTTCTGACTCCATTGGATCAAGTCAAACCTACGACTTCTACTAGTATACTACCTACTACGAAGAGACTAAGCTCTATTTTACAGATTGGACTCTCTTACTGTGATTAGGCCATAAGTGTTCCCAAGCCACTCTTATACTACTCCTTGCCCTTATCACTTAAAGAAAGGATGAAGTCGCTGAAGTGAGTCTAAAGGCCAAAGAGTGATCTTTGAATGCTACTACGCATCCTTACTAATAGTAAAGCTTAAGGTAGGTTTGGTTATAGCAGGACTTGAACCTACGACCATTAGGTTAAAAGCCTAATGCTCTACCAACTAAGCTATACACCCAAAAAAATGTAGTAGTAAATAAGGATTGGTGCGGAAAAGAGGGCAGCCCCTCTTCTTCTAATCATATTAAAAAGGCTTGGGCTCTAAAGCCAGCCTTACTCAACAAGCACTTTATTAGTAAGGTTGTTTGTTTCCACTCATTGAAGATTCTATCAACAAAAGAAGGTCAACAGGGGATACTAAAGTTGCTCTCACTAATACCATCTACGAGAAGGTGAGGTCATCTTTCTTTCCAGCCATCATACGGTCCACCTTAAAGCCTTAAAGACGGAGAAAGGTATGAGTAGTTATATGTAATTACGGTCTTTATTGACCGTTGTTCCGGTCAAGCACTCTCTTTCTTTTTCCAATTCCATATTACCAAACAAGACTGACTTTTGACTAATCCGCAAAGGGTTGTGAGGTTGGACCATGTACTAAGAATGAATCTATATCTGTGTACAGAAGTTGCAAACCGATGGCCGCTCAACCGTTCGAGCTTAATGTAGTGGTGGTTGGCTCCGATTCGACAAAGGTAGAATGTCTGGTCGAATGTGTAGTACAGTAGGTAGCAGGTGTGTTCGTTTTGCCTTTCGAACCAGGACGATAAATAAATAGGTGATGCGCCATCCTTGCTGCTACGAACGTTGACCTTGACTTGATGGATTCATACAATTGAACTAACAAAAAAAAGAGGACCACAAACTCGGGGCTCGACGAAATAGAAAATATCAGCATTCAGAAACATCTTAGGGTTAGCAGTGAAAGAAAGAGACCGACATTCATTTCTTCATTCATATTCATAGCTGAGTCGACTAAAAGAGAGACCAACCTCATCGTGGTGATTAGAGGACATCTCTGATCATTCACCTGTAATGTGACACGTTCCCTCCCAGTTATATGATCAACGGGATCAGTCAGCTAGAGAGCGGGGCTATTCTTCTTCTAGGGAGGCAAAGTCGTCCCCTCTATTGATTGAACCCTCAGTTTGAAGGTCTTCGTCAACATGTTACGAGGCTCCAGTCTTTGGCTGGCCACCATTACTTGACTTAGAAAGGTGAAATATGGGTAAGGAAAAGCACAGTGCACCTGGTGCAAATGGCTTTCTTTCTTTTTTTATGATATACCAATCAGAATAGAGGCCCCTACATATGTACATGATTAATAGAATCACTATGTAGGGGATGGTCAACTTGATGCGGGAGAGGTATGAGTGCAGTTTGATCTTTTGGTGTATTCGTTTATAGTGAGTAGGGCCCTTTCTCGTTGATCAGTTCGTCCCGCTCTATTGAAAGGTCTCCATTCCTATGGCGGTTTTGTCAACGAATGCGTCTCGGGCTAGATTGACTAACCTAACCCTTAAGGGGGCCTTGCATAGTTGGTGCTCCGCTTTAGTGTGATTAACGAATGCTTTTGGTAATACCCACTACTAGAAAAAATCCCTTTAATGACCTCATTGCGTGTCATCTATGGGTGCAGATGACACACAAATGAGCGTCATTGAAGCCACCGACATAAATCTCAGATTACACACAATTGTGTGTCATAAATCTATGACGCGTATTTATGACACGCATTTATGACACACATTTATGATGCTCATTTATGACACACATTGAGCGTCATTGAATCCCCCGTCATAAATAAAGATGACAAACATTTGTGTGTCATAAATTAATGACACACATGTATGACTTACATTGCGTGTCATTGAAGTCCCGGTTATAAATGAAGATGTCACACATTTGTGGGAATTTATCAGTATATGCACTTAGTTGCTTTCCCATAATTATCAGTATAAATAAAAAAATTAAGCACTTTTAGTTAAACAAAATCAACATAGCATAAGAAACATGATAATTGTGGGAATTTACAATGTAAAAGGGACAATCCAACCAACTGATAGTTGTGTCATAAAGAAACCCATATGGCTTCAAATTAGATTGTCATTGTTCTTAGACTCTTGGAACATGGAAACATGGTCCAATATTTTACAATAAGAATATGATGGCTAAATAGAACAGAACATTGTACCATTTAGCTTGAAGGATTTTGTTACTACATCAATTCTTATGTTTTTGGGAGTGAAGAATCCTAAAATCTTTCTTATCATCTCCTCATCACATAACTCATAGACATAGTCTCCAAAGATAACATGTTCTGGTGGATAAACAAGTAAATTTTCTGCAACAAAGAAACAAAATGAATAGTTAATGGAATGTAGTTGCAAATACCAGAAATTAAAATAAATATAGCTTCCTAGTTATATTTATAAAAACAACTATAAAATATCCATTCATGAGGGGAAAGTTGACGCAATAATTTAAGATATTGATAAAGATAACCAATGATGTCAAATATCTGCAAGGAAAAAGTGAAGCACCATTAACAATTGTGGCTAAAAACACAAAATTCGTGAAGCAACCTTAAAACATATAAGCACATACAATATAGAAAGAAAAATAAAGAAACAATCACAGTAGCTGTAACTAACTAGGTACATATTCTTATAAAATTGAGCTGCCAATTACAGAAATACAATGAGAAGATAAAGAAAACCAATATCCTCCTAGGAATTTGAGATGATTTTTTCATGCGCATTTGAATGGAACTATATGTAATACCATATAAATGAAAAACACTAAAGAAGTTTTAGCCACTCTTACTTGCTTAGAAGATGAAACAACATATGCTACCTTTTCCAATCCATAATATGTAAGATGAATGGACATGCTAAAGATATAAGCTATAGAAGATCGCTGCATTCCATCATCTGAAACACCGGCAGATAAAGAGGTTATCCATCCCTTAGCTTTGAGAAAATAATGCAAGCTTTCTTTGCCCTCTGGAAAAAGAGGAGAGAAGAAGATATTACATTTGTACTTTAGTACACATGACAAAACATATACAACATCATGGTTTAAGCAGCAAAAAAATTTCTCAATGAATAAACCAGAAACGCAATTGTGTATGCATTGTTTATCTCTTTTATAATTCTAAACAAGAAGGGAATAGTAACAATCATATTAATTTCAGGGTATTAAAATTTGATATCATCATAATAGAAGTACTAGTAGTAGTTAAGCATATTGAATAAACTAGAGGGGTTAAGCATTGGAAATTGAAGCAAATGAAAAACTTGAGGTGTTTAAAGTTCAGTGGTGTATAGTGTAATTTACTCTTAATAAAACTACCTTTCTTATTAACTTTCAATATAATTTTTACTTTTTTAAATAGTAAAAGAAACAGGCCAAACCAAGCAAGAATAAGCAAAAGAGAAAACTTTAAACCCCTATTCTGATGCAAAAACTCCTTAGAGGGCAATGTTAGCCGATTGAGAACATGAATTTCCAAGTGAATCGTAGAATAATGTCACCAGTAGTTGCATGGGGGTTCTTTATAACATTTCTTAAAGGATTTGTGTATGCTTCACTTCTTATCCCTTTTCTCTTTGAATCTACGAATCCTTGCCACAATACCTTCTCAGGACAAAACCACCAGAAACAAAATAACAAATTATTAAGGTATGAGAATTTATGAAAAAATTTCAGAATCTAGATGATATCAATTGTTACTCGGACTCTGGGATAAGTGTAGGATTTAAATACAAACATATGAGTTTAGTTATGATTAGAAATTGACCTATCTAAGGGAATCTTTGAGCATAGTCGCAATAGAGGATAAAACGATTACCGGGAGTCATAAGTACTCGGGTACAAAGACTTAATCTTAATGGGAGACTAATTTAAAAATATTGAGGGGAAGAAAAATATGGTACATGTTAAGGTTTAAAGCAGATCTCGGGCAGGAAAAACCTTCAATTAAAGTCTGCACAGGAAGAGAAGAATGTTGGCATAGTGGAACATAGGAAAGTTTAGCTTGGAAAAAGGAAAATTCACATATCTAGAGAGCAAAAGTGAACACCCAAAAGGTTCTGGAAAGGAAAAGAATATTCCTATTATGAAATATAATTTTCTTGAAAAGATCTAGATAAGGTTCAAAATATAAACAAAAGTATATACAAATGATATTTAACCTACTTATCTAACAATTTATGATTATAAAAGCCTATAGATTAAAGTTTTGTGCCCAAAAATAGAGGAATAGTGAGCCAAAGTAATCGGGTTAATATCAGGTATTGGGTACCTAAGCTATTATAAGTCATCTGAATATTGAAATTGGCAATTAGAATATACATTTAAATAAATATTTTTTTATATAAATTAAAAGGGGTATTATTTTGTACGAATAATTCTCGAAAATACCTTCCATGTCAGTTAAGGGGCATTTCCATGGATTCTTCATACGAGATAATATTGCCCTAATTTTAATGAATTACATACATTAAATAAATATATTAAAAAATATTGATATGTAAAAAGTATATATATAGTTTTGTACGAATAATATTTGGAAATGAACTCCTTGTTAGTTAAGGTACACTTCCATAAATTCCCCATACAACATGTTATCCCAATACAATATGCATTTACATTAAAGAGAACCCAACAGGGACTTAAACAAAATACCATAAATACATGAAACTTAAATGCAAGTAATAGGAAATTAATCGAATATGTGAATGAATAACATAAGTGAAAATATAGTAACTCTAAGGATTAAACTGTAAAACCAACAAAAATCATGGTCATAAAAAATATCACACAAATTAAGCACTGGAATCGTAATAAAACCATCATCAACATTCAAGACTAAAATAGAAATTATTAAAATGAGATACATGATATAAAATAAGCATAAAAATGAGATACAAAGGAAATGGGCTAAAATAGAAAACGGGTAAATTAACATGCTTGAAATGGAAAGAAATGCAACTTCATTCGAGGCTAAATCGAAAAGTTACAAATATAGGAGGACCCGAAAAGGGGTTTACCCATGCATTAAAATGCGCAATCCTATACTCCTAAACGACACCGCATGGCACGAATATAAATCCCAACATCTTTGGACATAAATGGCCCTAACCCTCATTAGTTTAATTTTTTTTCAGTTTTTTGCTT